GTGCCGTCGTGTCTGCAGTGTAACCAGTTAGATCGGATTTTCACCTGTCAATGTGAGTCGCACGTCATTAAAAACCATAGCAAATGAGGTTGAGTCTGACGCTTTCATTTCAGAACAGACTACAGCAAACCAAAATCCCAAAACAGAGTCCCAAACCTTAAATCTCATACACAAGAACTTAAACAGCTTTTATACTGTCATATAGCACAGGTAAAAGCATGTTAACGAGAGCGAGAGAGCGCTATGTCCGCCACGTAATTAATATAAACTAATATAAAACTAGTGCATACATCACATGCATAAATCATGCCATGGACATTACATTAATATGCCTAAAGATTTTAAAAAGCCTATATATCAAAAGAAGATGAGAACAAAAGAGAACCTTTCTGTCATAAACTATAGTCAAACAGCTCAAAAACTGCAAACAGATTACATACAGGAATAGAGAAAAGAGCACTCTTTAATTATCAGCTTATAGTCAGCGCCCGCTTTTTTTTTTTTTTTTTTGGTCATTGCGCTTTTGCCATGTGCTGTGTAAATGCAGATACGAGTCACTTTTAAAAGATCATGTAAGCAGGTCAGCAAAAAAAATCGGATACAGTCACAAAATTGGAATTGACCATCAAGATCTGCAGTGTAAATGTAGCCTAATACAACTGTGTCGCCCACAGACATTGATGCTACTCCAGAGAATAATGTGTTGCCCACGCAATGTTTTAGCATTAAATGGACGTTGAGCACAAAGCAGTAAAAGAAGAAATTTAATTCCTCACAGTGAGAGAGACACATGTGGTGCTTTATCAGTTTCATGATTTCAAATAACAATATATAAACAAATGAAAAGCTAAATGCATAGATGTAAATATAATATTAAATAAGCCAGTATAACAAGGCTAAAGATGATTAGTAATATTACAAAAGTATGCATTACTATTACAAGTGTTTGCATAAACATTTCTTACACATCAACCTTTCACAAAATAAATCATCACAGTGAGAGAGAGAGACATTTGTAAGAAAAACTTTGTCAGGATCATGATGGCAAACAACAAACACATTGTTCAACATCCCTGGATAGAAGTCCTCTTATTACATTATGATTCAGTACTTTATAAACCTTCATGAATCTTGAAACACAATGGAATAAGGGTAAGGTTTAACAAATATCATTATCTCAATATCAAATACTCTCAGAAAAACAAGGCAAAAAAAGCCGTAACTGGCGGTATTCGCTCCTAGAGATTATTTAGTGTAAAACTTTATTAATCACCTTGGGGCAATTCATTCTGACATGGTGGTGCTTCACATACAGTACAACAAGAATGACACACTTAACAAAATAAACACCAACACTTAACAAAAGGTACAAAAAAAAAAAAAAAAAAATTGCATATAAGGTCGTTTACTCTCACCTCAAAAATGAAAATGTACTCACTATTTACTCTCCCTCAAGTGGTGCCAAACCAATATATATTTTTTTCTTGTTAATGATAAAAAAAGATATTTTGAAGTTAAAAACCTGTAACCATTAACTCCCACTCTTGGAAAAACAAATGGAAAGCAACAGAAGAAAGAAACTCATAAAGGTTTGGAACAAGTAAAGGGTGGGTAAATGTTGACAGAATTTTCACATGTGGGTGTCCCTATGAGATACATTGCAGATCAGATCACAAGTTGACAACACTAAATACAGGAGGAAACATAATCCTGTTCACTTTCTTTGGGGTCAGAAGAGTCTCAATAATAATCCACGCCAAAAACCCCCCCCCAATGTATTCAAATTCATATGCATGAAAACAAATTCATGTGAATGGTACAGTACGGTATGGTTCGATACGCTTTTATAACTTTCCACTGTCAAAGTGTACCTAAAAGCGAACCGAACCATACCACTTTTTTGGCACCCTTTGATAAGGTTACCAAGGGTAACAAAAGGCGGAGCTAGATGCACAGCTGAACGCTACCGGTTTTCAGAGATATGTCATTCGCTCGCGCAATAAGCCAAAATGAAAACAAAGGAATCACCATGTTTTAAATATGCAGCCGAGACAATACACCATTACAATATATGCATAAAATAATGAGCCATGGTCAATCCAAGCTCAGACAAACCTTGTCGTCTTGATGAACAGCCACAAAGCCAAGAAGAAGAGCAGATTTGACCCTGTGCCCTGAAGTTTTTTTATGAGCCAGTCAGAAGTGCGAGCGGTTTCGCTTTCTTGCTTGTGCTCGAGTGCGCTTCTATATCTAAAATAACAAACTTGAGTTAATGATAATAACGTGCGCTTGATTATTGACGTGCTTTTGAAAACCTTATTCTTTTTAAAAACTGACAAACGCAAGAGTGATGCCCGAAAAAACAAAGGAGCAATTTTTTTTTTTTTCCAGCAAATGTGAACAAACTGCCATGGTTAACTATTATGATCACCTTATGGACTATTATGATCTCGGAATGAAGGAATTACTTTCTAACACGAGGTTACATGTGCCTACTGAACACTTGGATGAAAGGTTTGCACTGACTGTGGGCTAAATTTCGTGTTATTTTTTAACTCAAATAAGGATTAAATGTCTGCTGTGTGTAGTTTTTCTGTAATTGGTAACATCAGAGACTGTAAGGGTCTGTATGTGTTCATATATGTTGCATTTATTTATTTATTTAATATAATTATAGACGTTACAGTAGGCTATTTCACACTGTCATTGATCTGCAGTTATAATCAACTCATGTTCATAGAAAAATTAGTAATAAACATTTATACAGAAGTATTTATGTGTATAAAGCATCTGTTTTGTGAGAAGTGCTTCTCATATATGTGACATTATATGAGACATTTCCTCGAGTGAGAATGATGTAGATTGAAACTTTCTGTCTTACACCACCCCCACCAAAAGAGTACCATTGATACCCTTTTAGCAGTGGAAACGCAAGCTTGATAAAGGTGACCCGTACCGCACCATACTGTATCACTCAGTATGTAACATAGGACAAACCATTTTTGCAGCATTAAGGGATTTTTTTTATCTGTAAAGGTATGTAAAGTCTTGTATTGTTGTGCCCACCGTCTTCTAGGCTAAAAGATGGAACCATTTTGAAAGATGTAAAAAACAGAGTGACTGCTAGCCAGTTTTGAGGAAAACATGACACAGCGGGGTTAGTTGTAACGGTGTTACAATTAAACCACACACTGTTGGACACTAACTAAATGAACTATATATATATATTAGGGATGTAACGGTATCAGAATTTCACGGTATGATAATACCTCGGTATGAATGGCACGGTACAGTATTTATTGAATAATTTACAGGAAAAACAAAACTAATAAAAAGACTTGAAAAAAGCGCCAAAAGTGTTTATTTATCTTAGCACTGAGCATATCAATGACATACAAATTAGCCATCTATCTGTAAGTTTCGAAATAGGAACTTCAATTTTTCAATTTTAATAACAAAAAACTATAAAACCATATAAAAAAAAAGTTTCAATTTAGTATTGTTGAAAACTCATCACATTCTACATTTAATCACTCACTCACCTAGATAGAGATGGGATTTTTAAGAAAAATTATCATATAACTATAATCTGGTAAAAGCTGGGATCTCTGGGCATGTCCCCTGCAACAGAAAAAAAAACCTCTCATTTGGGACTAAGGTTTCTGGGACAGAGAGATATGATTTAGGTGGACAGCAGTGGGTAACGTTGTGCATTGTCTTTCCACCACTTGAGAGGAGAAGCCATGAGTGAGATAGAGGTCTCTTTGCGGTACAAGTCAATGTCTGCATCAATCTAACAAGTGTGCTGTGTTCTGCAGTCCCCATGACTGTTTTTAGTCGTATTCCCCGACTTATATTTCACCACAGTCTGGCAGTGCCTGCAAACTGTTTTTTCTTTGTCTGTCACCTTTTCTCCTTTTTCATATCTTTTTAGAAAGAAACCAAAATGCTTCCACACATCCGATTTAAAACCCGCTTTAGATTCGATCATTTCCAGCTCTTTTTCTTCCCCGCTACTAGCAACACACTCCAACACTCCATTTCCGCATTACTGGATCTGTGGTGACAACAGACCGCAAAGGATGATGGCCACGCCTGGGCTGATGGGAGTTGTAGTTCCCGCTACCTCCCGTTCGCTTCATTTGCCTAAGCAAACTTTTCTCAGAAATATAGTTATATTGAGTCATGCGCCTACGGTAATATTGAGAAAAATTACTATTGCGGTATGACGGTATTTACAATATTGTTACATCCCTAATATATATATATATATATATATATATATATATATATATATATATATATATATATATGTATATATATATATATATATATATATATATATATATATATATATATATATATATATATATATATATATATATATATATATATATATTTATATAAATATATATATATATATATATATATAGAAATATATATGTAAATATGTATATATGTATGTAAATATGTAT